TCATATGGGACCCGTTCCAAACCCCTAATCATTTTAGTTGCCCTTTTCTGAACCCTTTCCAAGGCCAAAATATCTTTTCTGAGGTGAGGAGACCACATCTGTACACAGTATTCAAGATGTGGGCGTACCATAGTTTTATACAGGGGCAATAGGATATTCTGTGTCTTATTTTCTATCCCTTTCTTAATAATTCCTAGCATCCTAATTGCCTTTTTGATCACCGCTGCACACTGTGTGGAAGTTTTCAGAGAACTATCCACTATAACTCCAAGATCTCTTTCCTGATTTGTCATAGCCAAATTAGCCCCCATCATACTGTACATATACAGTGAACCCTCGTTTATCGCGGTAGATAGGTTCCAAACCCTACCGCGATAGGTGAAAATCCGCGAAGTAGGCTTTGAAAGCCACGGAGGGGCTCCGGCGGGGAGCAGCCCAGGCGCGCCTGGGATGCCCCCCCCGCCGGCTTCCCCCGAGGCTTTGAAAGCCGCGGAGGGGCTCCGGCGGGGGAGCAGCCCAGGCGCGCCTGGGATGCCCCCCGGCCGGCTTCCCCCGAGGCTTTGAGGATCCTACTTCGCGGATTTTCATCTATCGCGGTCGGGTTTGGAACCTATCTACCGCGATAAACGAGGGTTCACTGTACTGCAGGATCAGTTTAAAACAAAAGTGTACCGTTTTTCCTGATAAAACCTTGTTTTTCCTTTTAATGTGACCGAATTTCACACACGGGAAAACATGGGACAAATATAATTGTCACTAGCCACATACTAGACATAACACTAGTAGTTGCTGTGCAAATTACAGTGCTCGGTAAAATGATCTTAATCTTCAATCCACAAACTGAAAGTGTAGAAATTTATTGGCCATCTACTCAAGTTATTTGTGATATATGCAAATTGAATATTTTTTTATAATTTTTCTTTAAAAGATACAAATAGGAATATGTATACTAACTATAGATTCTAACTACTAGATCTAAGCACAAACACTACAAATAATAAAATGTAAAAATGTAATCATGATAAAAAAATCAAACAGGAAATTGTCTAATGCAGGAGTCTCAAACTTTGCACTGTTGAGTTAATTCCAATAGCATAACATTTTAAAAGTAGAAAGTAGAAAGACTTTTTTCTCTGAAGAGTGTCCGTCCCTCCCAAATGTAATATTACATGAAATCTTTTACCTGGGCTTGAAGACTGTAGGGAAGGCTACAAAAAAAAAAAAAAAAAAAAAAACAAAACACACCATTAGTTTTCCCCCACATTGTCTGTATAAACACAGAAGATGAACTCAATAGTTGATCAGATATAAAATTACCAGTCACTTTTTTTTTCCACCAAGATATCAGAAACACCAGGATGATTCTAAATGGATTTAAAATGATAGATTCATTTCTTTCTTTATACTTTCAGCTTTGTTATATTTAGGCAAATAATAAAGGGAATAATTCCCCATTTTGTGAAGCAATGATTGAATTTGAGATCATAAAAGGCAGCAATTCTGAAACCAAGGTAAATAAGTAGCACATTACTAAGGTATCTCATTTGCACTTAAAATACTAAAAATCTCCCCTCTCCCCCTTTTAAAGTCAGAAACCGCAATAGGAAATCCTTAGAAAGGAGATAAACTAGTAAATATCTGCAACCCAAAACTGGGAGATTTTTGAAAGTTTCCTTAAAAGTCACCTCTCCTATAAGGATATTAAATTTAGATTAATCAACTAATCGAATAGTTGATACAATTTGCATTGACTATTTGATTAGTCGATAAGGGCACCTCTGGCTCTTGCTACAATACAAAGGCAGAAGCACGTGCGGGAGCATGGGGCCAGTGGGCAAGCAGTCCTCCACTAGCCCCGTGCTCCCTCTGCATGGTTTGCTTTTGAAATGTTCAAGAGCATTGGGCAGGGAGGGGACTACTTCAAAAGCAGGGAGCATGGGGCCAGCGGGGTCTGCCTGAGTCCCCTGCTCGCCCCCTGCTCTCACAATGCTCTTGCTTTGTAAAATGTAACAAGAGCCCTACTCTTGAAACAAACCTTCTAATGAAACTAAGAAGCTATTTTCAGATTAACTTTTCCAAATATGAATATTTTTACAGAATTGGCTAAAATAAATGTATGCCGTAAAGTTTTCTGAATATGTTTGCTCATTTCTTAAGCTGCAACTTACTACAATGGTCAAAAAGATGGGAAAATGGTAAGAGGAGCTATTGTGGCCAGTATATTTCACTGTATCATCTAGCCAAGTATCCTGTCATTGCCAGTGGCCTGTGCCAGAAGCTTCAGAGAGAATGAATAGAACAGGCAATCACCAAGTGATACAATCCCTGGGCAACTTCTGATTCTGGCAATCTCAAGTTTAGGAACACTCAGAGCATGAGGTTGCATCCTGACTCTCCTGGTTCCTCGAGGAACTTCATTTACTCTTTTTTAATTGAGTTATATGTGTGGCCTTTATATCATCTAACAAGTACAACAGGCTGTGCACTGTGTGAAATACTTCCTTTTGTCTGTTTTAAACATGTTGCCCATTAATTTGATTGAGTGACCCCCTCCTTTTTGTGTCATATGAAGAGGTAAATAACACTTCCTTATTCACTTTCTCCACACCATTCACAATTTTACAGATTTATCATATACCCCTTTAGTTGTCTCCTTTCCATGCTGAACACTCCAGTTTTTTAATCTCTACTCACATGCTAATTATTTCTGCTATCCTTTTTTGTAGCTTTTCCAATTTTTTTCAGATAAGTTGCCCAGAACTGTATGCAGTACTCAAGATTTGGGTGCATCAAGGATATCTATATTGTGGTTAAAACATTTTCCTCTCATTACCCCTTTCCCAATGGTTCCTACAGTATAGCTGGAAGCCCAGGGTGGGCTGGGAAGCAAAGAAGTGGCTGATGGGACATTTTCACATTCCCAAAATGCACTGTGCATTCCCACAGTGCTTAGTGACTGAAGGTGACACCAGGCACTGTGGAATGTTTACCCATATTGCTGTTCTCTTTCTGTCAACAGGAACATGGCCATAAAATGTTGACAATGGATGGTAGAAAAACTGGTTTGACACATTTTCAGTTTTGGCAACTTCTCCATGTAGACAACACTTATCACCAAACCTTTTCAGTATAGACATAGCCTGACACTCTTAGATTTCTTGCACAGAGCAGCAGGGGGCTCCCCCAGAGTGGAGCTCCCCCCCAACTCCGGGAACTATCGATTAATCGTGTAACACCTAATATTTGATGCAGTTATTATTCAATTAATTGCGACCCAACATTCCTACTTTACATCCCTACGGGTAAGAGGAAGTTATACTGCAGAATGACCACTGAGAGGCAGCAAGGGACCAAAAAGTGGTAGGGATGGAGAAAGGGACAGTTATCTACTACAGTGTTTCTCAACTAGTGGTATGAGTACCCTTAGGGGTACTTGAGAGAAGTCTAGGGGGTACATCAGCAAAACTGAAGTTTGGAGAAAACTGAATTTTTGTTTTAAGTTTTACAGCATTTTATTATTTTTGTATACTTTACACCCAAAAATGTAATTGCCCACCTGGCTACGATTAAGTTGTTTAAACAAATGTGTTGCAATGGTAGGAAAAAAAATGTCTGAAAACTGTAGGTACCAGGAGTACTTATTTTTTTAAGAAGGAGTACTTTATAAAAAAGGTTGAAAAACACTGATCTACTATATATTTCAGAGAGTTTGTCTGTTTTTGTGTCTGTCCATCTGTCCCACAGCTGGGGACATGCATCCCACTCCTGACTGTGCCACTTCAGTTGCAGAGGCCGCTGACAGGCACTTCTCATTTGGCCCCAACCTGCTGTAATGAGAAAGGAGCCGTTTTCTTTCCCCAGGGCAGCCTGTATGCTGAACCCTTCATCCCCAACCCCACTCCAGAACAATGATTTAAATGAAGAAAAATAAAATTTAAGTTAAGGATCTGAGCAACCTTGGGTAAAACTTTCAGTTGATAAACTGCTCAGTTTAATTGCTGCTACCTAGGCAGTTCTCAGAAGCAAAGGAACTAGCCAGTTTCTTAAATTTTGTTGTGTTGCTTAAAAGTGTTGTCAGCTGCAACAGAAGAATGTTTTACTTCTCACAGATGCATAGATAAGAGAGGGGACAAAGTCTAGATACTGGTAAACAGATACATTCTCAAAAGATCTCTCTACACAGCTACACTAGAGCAGTGGTTTTCAAACTTTTTTCCTCGTGATCAGTGACAAAAACTACTAAACAACCAACAATGGGATTAGCAGAAAGTTGGAAGTGTGTCAGGGAATGGGACAGTGTCCCCTCTAAGATTTTCCATCCTCAAGCAAGTTGAAATTTCTTATGTGCAACACCAATATTGAGGTAGCGTGTGGATGTGCCCCCCAGCAGTACAAACAAAAACTGTATCTATGAATGTTTTAAATAATCCATAGCTATGGAAGAAAATCTATTAAACAAGATATAATTAATAAGAAACAATGCTTATGATTATTTAATATGAAATCAAATAAAGAAAATTAACACTACCCTTGGCCGAAGAAGTGGGTTGTGCCTACGAAAGCTCATGATACTATTTATATATGTTAGTCTAAGGTGCTATAGCAGTGGTCCCCAACCTTTAGAGGCTGCCGGGTGCCAGGGGGCGTGGCCGTGGGCCAGAGGGCGGGGACACATGCACGCCCGGGGGTGCCCCCCACATAGCCGCGTCCTCGGGAGCGGGGGCCCCCCCGCAAGCGCCCCGCTCCGGGGCCGGCGCTCCTCC